AAGAAAAAGAAGCAATTCATGTAGCCAAATCGTACTGGACCCAAGACGTCGAGTATCGACGCAGGATGTTCCAGCAGTACAGAATCAACACCAAAGGACTTGAGGATAGGCGGGGAGGTGTGTTCCCCTCGGCAGTATTCCTCGTCCATCAAGGCAGAGCCCACGAAGACTTCGAAAAGAGCATCCTAGAGCAGAGGTCTCAGGATGCCCCTTGGGTGTGGTCCAGTGCCCCCAAGGCCACGAGTAATGACAGATGGGCCCAGTGGAGACTTACCAATGCGATCAACAATCAGTTCTACAGAATGTACCACAAGTACAACACGGCCACATTCAAGATACGTCGTTAATTTTTTCGTCATGCAAACCACCACCCTGACCCTCCGCATCAGATCAAAGCACATGTCACTCCTGCGATGCAGCCGGGTTCTTCCCACGCCGCCCGCTCCCGAGCAGACTACTACCACGCCGCCCGCTCCCGAGCAGACTACCACCACGTCCGCTAAACTGGCACAAACTCGCACAACAGGTCCGCTCATTACTACTGCTGTCACTCTGCCCGTGTGTTCCGGCCCCACGTGCGTGGAAAGCAGACTAGCCTCTGCCTGCGGGTAGTGGATACGGAAATTAAAAGAAAGAAACGATGAGGAGCGGCTGTGCGAAGCGTGCGAGTCAAGGATTGGCTGTTACGGTCGCGGCATTCTTTGACCACCAAGGTTGCTTATCTAAACCTGAAGGATGCAGTTTTCACCGTTTAATAGTCAAGTTACCGGCAGAGCTGAATGCGAGTAGTACGGAGGTCGAATTGATAGTAGCATTGGATAGTGCGGACCAGACGGATGACGGATGCTCGCTGATAAACGGGCCAGAGAGTATTTCTCCTGGTTTCGATTGGTTCAAATATCCCAACAAGCTGCAGCTTGCGGCTTGGTCAGAAATGAATGCCACGGTTGCCGACGATGTACTGAGCCGGTTCGTGGAGTTCGCGTGTCGGAATATACTCTGTCACCATCCCGGGAACATCGTCGACAAGGACCTGGAAGTTCAACTTGCCGCTGAGGTGGCTGGCAAGTTCGGCACCCAGCTCAAGGTGGTGGTCTCGGGGGAAGACGGTACGGAAGGTGGCAGATCGGCTCCGCAAATGGCGGGCCGGTCCGCCGCGACTGAGTCGCTGGAAACTTCACTGGAGGTCTCCTCCTGTGCACCAGCGTCGAGACGCGAGTACTGGTCCAACGTCACGGAGTACTGGGCCGACAGAAATCGGGTGGCGCTGCATGGAGCGGACGCGCCTCCTGTAAACGATGAGCATGGAGATGAAGCTGTTCTCCTTCAGCCGGCAGCCGCGGAGACAGCTGTCGCGGAGACGGCCGGGGGTTTCCGTGCATTCGTGTGCCGCTGCGGAAGTGCTGTTGTCGAGGCCTTGAACAGACACCCGGCGATCTGTAGTGTCGCGCTCACGGGCGGGATGGCGCTCTGTTTCGTTGCTGCCTACAAGAGCTACAGCGCTGCACGCTCAAGGCGGGGTGCGATTTGGAGGGGCGGGAGCGACGATGCTCGCGTGTGGCCGGACCACGCGTGCTTTTTGGACCAGTGGTGTGAATCACTCGACTGCATGGCCGACAGCATGGTGTGCCAGAGCCGGGCTGGGCCGGTGCCTGTCTGGTTCAACAAGCCGTGTGCCAACCTCATGGACGTCGGCACTGAAGCTTTAAGTAACTGGTTCGACAGCGCCCTTCAGTCGGCCCACTTCAAGAGAAAGGGCCGTAGCTGGACGCAGGTCATCAATAGCAGTCCCACAGGCTTGATGGTGCGACAGTTTGCCCGCAATGACACCGATCATATGTTCGTCGCCAACCTCGTCTGCTGTGCAATTGGCCATGACTCCACCTGCTCCCACCCAGATCAGCCAGACTCCATCGAAATGTAACCAACCAATCGCGCGCGGTACACACTGAAGACTCACGTTTGCACATCAATGGATTAAGTCCAGATAAATTGAGCCTGGCCGACCACGCTCTGGGAAACAGACTTGCGTATTCTTAGTGGCATTTCTGTCTGGCTGAAGTTTCGAGCATGCTGTGGCATTACTTGTGTTTGTAGTTCTCGTTTCGTTTTTCCCTCAGTGCTATCTTGGACAGTATGCGTGCCACCGCAAGTTGGGAAGCATAAAAAGTAGGGTGCTGTGCGAAAACTGGTGAGGGTAGGTATTCTGACGTGCTGTAGCAAGTATCGGACATTGGTGGAGACCGGTGGCGGAGACCGTCGGTTGTTAGTGTTACCGGGAGCGTTCCAAGCCTCGCATGACCTTCTTCATTTGCTTATCGTCCTTGACCATTTCCGCCATGAAGTCGTTGGGACGAGCGAATTTGACACCCAGGTAGGCCATTTTGCCCAGTCCTTCACGTACGCCTTGTAGCGTAATATCGTGGAGCAGATTCTCCCTTTCTATATTGTTTTCGACTGGGAAGTCGTCCGGGATCCTTTGGTCCACAGTTATGTCGAGCGTCTCGAGCCACGGCACGCGAGACGCACCTTCGGGCACTGCGTACCTGATTCCTTTCAGGCCAGCGAGAATCCCTGCCTCGTCATTCACCACTCGAACCTCTCCGCTTTTCATCCTTTTTTAATTTGACCCACCCCCGGATACTGGCCCGTAGGGTTACCCACCGCTACGCATCACATACGAAACCCCTTGCATGTGCCCCGGTTCCTTACGGAAGCTATTCTGCAAACTGTTTCGTCGGACGTGCTCTGCTCGCGACTTGGACGACCGACAACACGGTGACCATAAGAGTCGGGTTTGATTTATCTGGGGTGGAGCTTTTAAACAAGGGGTCCAGGGGCTAATTTTGAAATGGAGCAGTTCGTGCAAGATACTGTTCGGAATGTGCCCCCGATTACGCGCTGTCTTTTGATAGTGTCAACTGGATTGATGATTCTGACGTCATTGGAACTGGTCTCGCCTTACTCTTTGTACTTTGATCCGCAAGCCATATATGGGAAAAAAGAAGTATGGCGACTAGTTACATCAGTGTTATACTTTGGTAGCCTCGGGATCCAGTTCTTATGGACGTCGTATATTGTGTAAGTTTCACACCCGTGTATACCCGTGCTTGCCTGTAGTTTGCTGTATTGTGGCAAGCTCGAATCCGAGAATTACGAAGGTGACAAGTTGAAGTTCGGCTGGAGGCTTCTTCTCATCGTGCTGGGTGTGTGGACATGTGGGACGTTGTTCCCGTACTCCCTATTCCTCTCCTCCATGTTCCTCTCCACCTTGATGTACGTCTGGAGTCGAAAGAACCCGGACGTCATCATGAATGTGCTTTTGTTCAACGTACAGGCCCCCTGGCTGAGTTGGGTCATGCTCGGGTTCCAGTACCTCGTGGGCCGAGGAGTCTTCGACCACTTGGTCGGCATTCTTCTGGGCCACTTGGTCTACTTCCTTGATGACATCTATCCCACCATGCCCGCTTCTAGCGGCAAGAAGCCTCTGGATCCTCCGCTCTGGGTCCGAGCCTTCTTCACCAGAGAAACGTAGGCCAGCCTGCGTGTGGGACGCGCGTCGTGCTACGGCGCGCGTGGTGCTACGGCGCGCGCGTGGGTGCAAGGGGTGGCACACACGCGTTCGCAGCCACACACGGGTTCGCAGACACACGCGTCCGTTCCATAAAGGCGCGTGTTTCGCAACGCACACGCGTCGTGCGTGTTTCGCAGATGTGTCGTAAACCCCCACGCTCGACGGTTCATCAAGGAAAGGGGCCAGGGTTGACGTCGATGGCGACGCTGCCGGCGGCATTGCCGCCGGCCGTGGTGGCTTCGAGCGCGAGTATGTGCGGCATGATGTGGAATTCTTCAACACGCAGGTCGAAGGTGAGGGCGGCGAAGGCGGCGAATTCATGTTCGGCTATGTCCTTGGGTAGCACTTCGTGGGAAAACATGTTTGCGAGGCGTGCGAGTACGTCGAAGGTGGAGGTTTTGTCTTCGTTGAATTTTATGGCGAGACTCAGGCATGCGCCGAGGAGCATTCGTCGGTTATCTTTGTGGACCTTGTTGGCGAGCACAAGTCGTTCAAAATACACCCAAGCGATAGCGCTAGTGTTTACGTCAACGAAGGCCGTCATCTTCTTCAGCACCAGTTTGCAGGCGCGCAACTTGGTACACGAGAAGGATGCGTTGAGCCACGGATGGCCGGCCGCGAACTGGCGATTCCACTCTTCGCGTCCACCGCCCACGGCTTCCGGCGGCTCCGCAAAGGACAGCTGGGGATACCGGAGTTCAAGTTGTGTGCGTTGGGTCGTAGTAAGGGCGAAGAACACGTCTTCGTAGTCCAGGGCAAGCGGATTGTAACTCTGAGACACACGCGTGTGCAACAGGTCATGATAACTCATCTCACCACTCTTGTCCGCACTCGCACTACCGTCGTTGAACCAGTGCGTCAGCCGCTGACGCCAACCACCACGTGTTGTCTTCGCCGCCTTCGTCGCCGTTGGCGGCGAAGCCGCCAACGGCAACCCCGCCGCAAATGCCTCTGGTGGAGCCAACGGCGGCGGCACTGGCCGATACAAACTCGACAGGAAGGCTGCGGCCGCCCGACGGTTCACACCCAACTCCACCTCTGCCACCGCTCGCCCGTGCACACTCTTCAGCCGCTCCAACGTAGTACCGAATACCTCTGCCGTGTGCGCCCACTCCATTTTTCAAACCCTACACGCCGGCCTGGAAACTCTACCCCACTGCTGCACGACGGGGATACCCAAAACGACCCGTCAAAGCGCTGACCCCGCGTGACCCTCAACCCCAACTATGTGTGCCCTCAAGGTGTGTGTGTGACTCCCAGGTGTGTGTGTGCCCTCAAGGGCCGTTCGTTCCTTCCTATTCGAGAAGCTTAAAATCTTCCTTGTCCGAAAAATCGAGTATTCGCTTGTCTTCCACAGAGTACCGTCGTGGCTCCTCCATGGAGTACTTCCGCACGTCGTCTTCATCAATGGAATCAAACCGTTTGCCGAAGAACCCTCCGTACGGGTCTTTGGTCTCGAACACCGTACTGGACGAACCCAACTCGGCTTGCCGCTTCGCCGATCCCGACTGGCGAGGCGGCGACTCCAGCCCCTTTCCGTCGAACGGATCGGGGCTGAACTGTGGCGACTTATATTGTGGTAATCGAGCGCCAGACGATTCAGCTTTCGCGGGCTCCACACGTCCTGATCCTGAAGCCCGGCGACCCGCGGGGCGTTCCGACACACGCTCAGCCACGCTGTTGCGTAGCACTGTGCTAACTGGATCAGACCGAACTGGCCCACCGGATTTGGTGTCATCCTTCGACCCCAACTCCTTCGACCTAGAGCCTTTCGACCCTAGTTCCTCGGACTCCAGTTTCTTGAACCCTAGTTCCTTGGGCCTTGGTTCCTTGGACCCCGTTCGGGGACGCTCTTTGGAGCCGGTCTTGGTTGATTTGGTACTAACGTCAAATGTGAGTTGGCTGCCGCCAACTCGATTCTCTGGATGCCTGGCTGCGTTTATTTTCCGGGGCTTGTCAGTGGTGAAAGAAATGTCGGTATCCGGGCTCGTGTTTGCGTCAGCTTTTGAATTCATCTTACTAGCCCTCTCGGTGTCGGGGATATGTGGTCTATCAGGGATCTGTGGTCTATCAGGGAAGCTAGATGTTGGTCTGTTCGGTTCTCGCGGTTGCTCAATAGGCGGGGGAAACATGGTATCGAAACTAACCACGGAGGGCAGGGTAGTCCTCGGTGGGCTAGCCGGCGGCCGAGGACCCGTGGAGGACCGATGTGAGAGAGAAGGTTGGTGATCAGAAGGTGGCGTACGAGATGATTCATCGGTGTCCTGCAGCTGGGCAAGTGGTCTGCAAAACGGAGGCACATGATCCGCTAATTTCCCTTTTCTGACGTCCTCGTTTTTGGTCTCAGTAGCAGCTTGGTTCGCAGCTGCCCGACCGGCAGCTGCTGGGTTGGCAACTGGCCGGGTCGGTGCCGCCACCACGGGAGGTGGCGGTCTTCTCTTCAAAGGCAAGGGCCCGTCGATCTTGCGAAACAGAGTGTTTGTTTCCGGCCTTCGTGGAGGCGGATCGGCGTTCCAGTTGCGGAGAGCGTTTTCAGCGACTGCCTTGGCCTGCTCATCTGCCCTGGTCTGTGCCTCGAGGACTGGGTCGGTTGGGGGGTCTAGAGGAGCGAGGGCGGGTGGGCAACGCGGATCTCTGCGAGGGTTAATTCCAGTGCGGAGTTCATATTGGCCGTTGGCCCATTCATAGTAGTAGCCGGTGTTTTCCGGAGCCAGTGGAGGTGATGGCATCCGCGTAGGAGGAGGGGAAGGCGGCGGCGAAGGGGGTCGAGGTGGTGGTGAAGGGGGCCGGGGTGGCGGCGAAGGAGGCCGGGGTGGGGGTGAAGGGGGCTCTTCCTCGACTGACACGATGTCGGGCAGGGCAGGGATGGGAGGGAGGACAGGCTCGGGTCTGGAGATAATCACCGGCGGCGGCGGTGGTGCCTGCTGGATCACGACTTCGCGGACCACTTCTGTGATGGGTGCTGGAATGGGGGCAGGGATGATGTAGGTGGGCGCGGCCGGCAGTGGCAGTGGCTGGTGCGTGATAGGCACGCGGCTGGAATCAGCACGCAAAACCGTCACGTTCCGCTCCGGTGTGGAGGGAAACACACGCGTGTGCGGCGCTTCACCGCCAAGCCGGCCGACCCGGCCGTTGCGCAGAGTGCGTATCTCGCCCTGCATCATGACGCTGTCCTCGCGGAACTTCTGGCGCTCCACAAAGAGCTCCGACTGGAGCGATTCATTTTGCGCGACCACCTCACTCAGCAACCCCAAAAACTGCGCCGCGTGCCGCTTGTCTTTCGCATTTTTATCCCACAGGGCGGACATCTCCTGCATGGCCGTGCGATATTGGTCCACGCGATCCTGTAACACGCGCTCCTGGATGTCGTGTTCCTGGCAACGATTCTTATACTGCTCCAGCACCTGTTGCGTTTCGCGCAACTGCGAATTCAGCTGTCGAAGTTGCTCCCGCTCCACACTGTCCGCGCCACTCCCCGGGCTACCAAGCCCAAGGCCGTTGACGCCGTTAAAGCTCCCGGTGGGGTGGATACGGACGTAGCTGTCGAGTTGCGCCTGAATCTGTTGGCGTTTCATGGCTTCCAACTTGAGCGCAGCCTCTTGCTGCTGTGCAATGATTTTCCACTTGTCAGCCTCCGTGCCCGGACCCTTGGGCAGCACCAAGTTGCTGTTGTAAAGATTGGGTCCTTTTTCCAGTGCTATCTTGTACTGCGTCTGGAGAGCCTCGTGTGCGGCCTCAAGCCTTCGGACCTTGTCCGTAAGTGAGCTCATCTGCTTGCTCTGCACCTCCGCCTCCGTCACCAGGTGGCTACGTTCACGCTCCAGTGCCATGATCTTCGCATCTGCCTCGTCCTGCTTGGCCTTGTACTTGGCCTGCATCCGCTGCAGGTGCACAACCGATGTCGTTGAGTCCTTGCGGTCGTCCGCAGTCGAGTGGCTCTGCAGCACAGCACTCGCCGGTAGTAAGTCCAAGTTATCGTCCGTCACAATATACGCCGGCTGCACCTTCTTAGACTTGCTCTTGCCGCCGAACCAACCCTTTTTCTTTTTCGACGCCTCTGCCGCCTGCGAAGCCACCTGGTCGTTGTGAACAATGATGTTGTACCGCATCTTCTCAAGCTCGCGGTCACGGTCCTTCAACTGCTTCTTTAACTGCTCAACCTCCGTACCCTTCTCCGCCAAATCCGCCAATAAACGGCCGTCCGACGCCGGTGATCGTTCCTCCCCCATCACGCCCACGGTTTCGCCAGAATGATTTATCGTCGACCTACTAAACGAAAGTGCTCTCCGCCACAACCCAAGGAGCAACCCCTGCCAAATGGTGCATCCCTTACCCCGCAATCTGGAATCTCAATCTTGAAATCTCTGTGTCCTTCTCAATCCTCTCACCCAACAACGTCTGGATCTCATTCTCCAACTCTAATCTGAAACTCACAACTCACTCCCCAACTACACCCGCTGCGCGACACCAACCGGTTTGCCTAACCCACTCACCCCCAACGGCCCTCAAGGCCCCCACGCGGCCCCGAAGGTCGCCAGACGCTTCCCAAGGGCGTACTCCAAACGGCCCCAAGAGACTGACACTAGACGGCTTACATCGACCGGCCTACCCCCTCAATGGCCTACCCCCCCAATGGCTTACATGGTATCATCGTTTCTTGATGTCTGCGCCTGGTCACTCAGCTGCGCTTTCAGCTTTTGTATCTCCTGGTCTCTGCACAATACGATCGTTCATGGCAGCACTAAGCACGACCCACGCACACGACAACAAAGTTTCGCGGCTATGAACTCTTACCTTTTTCTGATCGTGGCTTCGCTCTCCGACTTGAGTTGGTCATATTCACTCTTGAGCTTTTTATACTCCCCCTACATCGTACCTGTTTGTTTCGGAGACATCTCCTCACCTTCAGCCGTTCCAGCTGTTCCCTCAGCTTGTCATTTTCCACCGCCTCCTCATTGGAACCGCTGCTCATAATTTATCCGCGCGGCCCGGAGGGCTTGAGCTGAAGCAGCGCGGCCTTGGAGGGTCGATACGGAGACCGTTTATGGACAAGCGGGGTCCGTGACGTTCGAACTTGGACGAACGACGAGGAGCGGACTTGGACGGAGACCTTTCTTTGGTTACCCGGAATGGCTGGCTGCTTACCCGGAACGACTGGCTGGCTGCTGACGCGGCTCTCACGAGGTGCAAAAATGGTGGAGGTGGACGAGGCCGAAGTTAGATCCGTACGCAAAGGCGGGGCGGGCGTGGGTGTCGTGGTCGTAGCCCGCGCAGCAGGTGATGGAGGTAATGGCTACGTTGTCCGGAATGTCCAGAATGTTGCCGAGAACTGGCGGCCAGAGAGACGCGAGGGGTCCCGAATCAAAGTCAAAATAGTTACTACTCAGAATGTGGATCCCGTCCCGAGCGGCGGATAGAATGCCACGGTCTAACACGCGGTACAATAACTCCAACGTGCCCCGGTCCAACGACTCCTCGTCGAACGCTCCGCGCGGGCTCTCAGACGCATGTGCGGGGGACTTAGTGTCGCTGGTTCGCATCACACTTGTTATGGCATTTGCATTCGCTGGAGACGCATCCGCTGCACCAACACTCGGGCCACTGGGGGACAGAAACGCGCCCTCGACTGCTCCATTCCGGTGGTCTTGAGACCGGTGCCCAGGAGGCAGCAGCGTGGTTGGCATGGTATAGCGGTTTGTAGAATCGGCGTCATCCTCTTCCTTTATAAGGACCGGGGGCTCGGGCTTCGGGTTCGAAGCCAGCGTGGGGTCATGTGTCATGGGAGTCACCAGCGACCACTGGAACATACTGGCCTCAACGTACGCCTTCATGTCTAGACGTGAAAGTGCGCCGTCCAGGCCCACGCCGCCGTCGTATGAAAAGGCACCGTACTGGCCACTTATTGCGCAACATGTGGAGGGGTTCTCGAATGTCCGCACCGCCAACTCGCTCCGGTACGCAGGACTCAGCAATGACCGCCACAGATGCGGAATGGCCTCCTCCGCTGCACCGCCACTCGACTCACGCCCGCTCGCCCCGCGCCTACTCGTCGCAGGTCCACTGTCGCCCCGTTTACGGCTCTCGGTGGTCGCCGACTGTTCGTCCGAGCTGCTGCGTTCGCTGGCCGACTCGCTGTCCGTGTGCGCGTCCTCCAGCTGCTGTTTGTTCCCACGTTTGCTCCCACGTTTGCTCAGGCGTTTGGTCGCTCGTTTGCCGTGATCCGCCGCGTTTTCCGGCCGCATTGGTGCGGTCTCAGCCTCAGGCACAGCCTCATGTTTCGGTTTTCGTTTGACGGGGGGTTTGGGCCAGCTGCGGAGGTAGTGATGGCGGGAGGTCTCGGTCATGGACAGGGAGAAAATCATGCCCTCTGTCTGCGAAGAGACAATGGCGCCATAGGCTTCTGGCCAGAGCATGGACTCGATCGGTCGACTCATGTATTCCAAGTGCATCAGGACGGCGGCGCTGCCCTGACGCCGGTCGCAGACCAGTAGGTGGCCGTTGGCCATCGCGGCTGCGAAGAAATAACCGCTACCCGCCGGCATGAAAGCCACACAGCATACCCGTCCCGGCTTCATAAAGTGCACCGACCGCCACTGCACCTGCGCGGTCGCCAAGTCCACGAAGCTAAAGTTGACGTGTCCGTCCGCAGTGCCGAGACAAATATACATATGGCTGGGCCCTCGGTCTCCGGCTGCCGTCTCAAGCCCGGCTGCGGCCTCCCCAGTCCCGCCGGGCTGGTCCAGAAGAGTGTCGACGCAGGTGAATTTGGCGTCCTGGGGCTTGAGCACCAACCACTCTTGGTGGACGATTTCGTGCGGAATGGCGCTCTGCTGGACTTTGTAGCAGCGCAGGAGCCCATCGTAGGTAACCATGCACAGAATGGCGACGCCCGCGACGGGGGAGCGCTGCCACGCGAGGGCTTTAGGCATACCGCTTTTGACGACCATCCGACATACAAGAACAGGCGGGTAGTCTGGCTCGTCGGTTACGAGCCAGTGCTGTAGCACGGCTGGTGTCTGGGAGTCCAGCGCAATGCTGGCGTACTTGACTACGGTCACGAAGTAGCGCGTGCGGTTTTGGCTAACGAACGAAGGAGACATGCGCAGCAACACCACCGGCTCCGGGCCCGTGTGGAGGAAGCTGTGCCCCTCCACGGGTGCCAGACCCTCCCCGGTTCGCATCCGCAGCCCGAGGGTGCCCCACTGCGCCTCTACGATCTTCCCCGCCTCTGCCACGGGTAACGGGCCCCATGCGCTCAACTTCATTTTCAAACCACCTGTCACATCCGTGAAATATACAGGGTACTCCAACTCCTTCAGATAACTCCCGTCCGCGCCCAAGTCCTCACACTCCACCACTCGTACCCAGTCAGTGGACATCCCCATTAAAAATATGTCCAGAACGACCACCAAGCCTTTCTATGCAATCCTCAACGTACTGGAACATGCGCCCACCAAGGAAATCACAAAAGCGTACAGGCTCCTGGCTCTCAAATACCACCCCGACAAAGTAACCCGCCAGACCGGCACTGTCGGACGTGCGACGCGTGCCTCCCGCACCTGCGTGTTCTGCATCTCGTTCGGGCACCATACATGTAGGCACCGTCCTGGCACAACGAAGTTGGGGTAGACAATGTCACTCACGACGTGTCCACGACGACGCGTCCATGACGACGCGTCCATGACAGAGGCGTCCATGCACGACTCATTTGGCCTGTAGACTGGGGGAAGCGAGGAAATGATGAAACGAATCAATGAGGCTTATGGCTGCTTAAAAGACCCTGTTAAAAGGAAAGTGTATGACCGAACCGGCTCGGTAGAAGGCGCAGAGAACGACGTAGGAGGGGTGATTGATGAACAGGATATCCTAGAGTTCGAACAACACTACAGGGGTAGTTCGCTCGAGGAAGATGACGTTATAGATTTCGTAACTCGGTTTGAGGGGAATGTCACCAAACTCTTTGATTACATTCCGCTGTCAAGGGAAGAAGAGCTTGAAGACCATAAACGGCTACTCAAATTCGCTAAGAAGTATATAGACCGCCACGGCACCGAACGGATGAAGAAGAACTTCCAAATGTCGAGCAAGAAACTCAAAGTGAAAAAGAAAAAATCGTCCTCAAATGCAGGGACCTCCTTGGAGGACCTCACAGCCCAGATAAAAGCAAACCAAGCGCGAAGAGCGAAACATACAATGAAACAAGTCTCAGCCAAATAGATAGTTATCAGCCGCTCCACTGCAGAAACCGACAATCAAGGGATCAACCAGAAGCTGACTGACCAGCATCAGGAAACCAAAAACAACTCCTCCTTGGTCTGAGCGGTTCATGAGCCGCGGTCCAGGCCCTGCCTGGACTTACGTCCGCCTGGATCAGACTGCCGGATATACTAATGGTCCGGCCCCCAAAATTGCCTTTTTTGAATCGCGCACACACGTGTGCAACGGCGCGCGCACGCGCGTGCTCCGCTTCTCCGGCGTCCTCCGAGTATCAGCGTAGAACCGTGTGCCCATAAGGCTCCGCTTACGTGTCGCCATAAGCTTCGCTTAGGTGTTGCCATAGGGGTCCACTTACATGTAGCCATAGGGCTCCACTGACATGTAGCCATAAAGTTCCACTTGCGTGTAGGCCCAATTATTCATAAATGAAGTTGCACGTAAGTAGTACAGGTGACGCTGAAGCTAAGTGGTTTTTCGGGGTGCGGAGGATTGGTTTAGCAGCTCACGCGTGAGCTCAGAGAAGATGGTCATATATGGGTTAGATTTTTGTAGAACTTGATCCAGCCATGTATGTAGTTCGGTACAGTCGTTGATAGTCTTCTGTATGAGTAGATGTTTGATGGTGGAGACTTTCTTGAGCATGAAAGACTTCTTGTATGATTTTAGTCTTATGCACGAGCAGCCAACAGGATTATGTGGTCGGCTGTTGGATTCCTCGAAATGTTGTTCGAAAAGAGCGATCCGTTGTATAAGTTGGATTGTAGTGGCTGGGCAATACGTCAAGTTATCATCAACCATACATGAGATAAGCCTTTTATTATCGTCGGAGCTCGGAGGGACATTCACATTAGGACACCACCACCCAGCTTCGACCGCGGAGTGAAGCAGACACACCAGTTCGAGCTCCTCGCAGTCTATCCTCGGATCCATGAAAATAAATTTGATTTCACGGTCCTGAAATCTATCGGTCTCCGCCGCGCAGAGCCCCAAACCCCATATGGGTACCATCCTCTTGGCGCCCGTTGCCTCATCCAACACATCCAAACCGATGATTTTACAGAGGCCGTAATCGTCGTCAAAGACATCTGAGACTATCTGCTCTATCTCCGCCACCTTATCGTCCACTTCCAAATTAGTAAACTTGAATTTCACAAAGTGAGACGTCACGCCAACTGCCGGACAACTGTTTTTCCTCTCGGTTTCCCCGGCCGACATATGTCCGGTGGAGCTGCTTATGGGCCACGCATTTGGCCGCATTCGTGGAGAATCATTGTTCATCAAACAATCCCGAATCTCATTCCGCAATTGACCAGTGCTCTCTCTGACATACCTAATACTCAACCCACAAGTCTCAGTTATATACCGAGTCAATCTTCCGTAAATATTCTGCACCGGCGTTGGCACATTCGTCAGCAACATGGGACCCGATAACACCGTTTCGCTCTCCATTCCACCAGCCGCCTCCATTCCAATATCTTCAGCCATAAAAATAAAATGCCCAAGTACTACTGCGAGTATTGCGACATCAATCTCACCCACAGTTCGCCGGCTGGCAGACGACAACATAATTCGGGCAGACGGCACATCAACAACAAAATCGAATATTATCAGCGTAAACTTGAGCACCCGCAAGAGCGCGCACACGCGTGTGTGCGCGCAATCAATAGCAAGAATTAGCCCGAAATACCTTATCCTTTTACAGAGTTGATACGGTCCCCGGACTTCGTGCCACCCGCGCATGCTGACATGACGAGGAGTGCAGGATTACCTTTCATGGGTGCGGGTTTGCCGAGATTCCCCGCAATCGTGCGGCCAAATGTCGTCCGGCCCTTTGTTCCAGCCCCAAATGTCGTTCCGCCGCCCACGATCATGGGCGGAGTGCCCTTGTTGCCTCCCTCCACAATACCCCTGCCGACGCTGCCGCCGAGCATAATTCCTCCCGGAATAACGCCACCGACGCCGCTTCCTGCAGCCACTGCCCTCCCGGCCACTTTGCCGCTCCCGACCGGCTCAGCAGCAGCGAGTCCCGGCTTCGGATCAGTCGCTCGTTTCGGCCCCAGCCCGGGGTTCGGTCCTGCAGCACCCATCCCCCCGCCACAGGCCCCTTTCAGCTGAGCAACGATGATTAGCGCGGTGTTAAACAACGACGCCGAACAGCCATGTTAAACAGCGATGCTAAAACAATGATGAAGATGTATAGATAGTAAACTCGGTAGCAGGTATGCGTTTCCGTGCTTTGTTTACAAATCCCAGAATCGCCCATCTTCCTCAAGATATGAAGCGATTCAGAGTGCACCCCTCGAGGAGCACGGGGATGGATAATAAGGACCCGCCTTGTAAGTGCTGTCGATACCGGAAGCGGGATGCCGCGTCCACACCCCTAAGTCTGATCCTTTATGACCTGGCTCGCGTGAAGAGCCTGGCCCCTACGTGGCAAAAGCGTTGGCACCAGCTGCGCCATACGTGGTCCAAAATTATGTGTCTGTACGGATGGCTGGATCCACGCAATCACGGGTACATAAATATAAGCGAGGCAGTTACTTGGCTGGACGTCCTGTGGGAGATACGGGCCCGTGGGTGCATCGGCTGTTACCAGATGTGCGGGATAGACTCGCCTAAGGCCGGAGGGTCTAGGGCCACCGCTGCATCCGACGCAGGAGGCGGCGAGGATGCCGGAAACGGGGCTAACACAGAGGACGGCACGGCTGCAGGAAATGGCCTAGACAGAGCGCGGGAGGGCGGCAAGGGTAAGATGGAGCCCCGCGGTAAGAACGGACCAATGCACAGCCGAAAGAGAAAACCATCCAACTGGAACATCGCACCGACGGCACATTCGCCTGCTTGTCAAACCATGTTGGCGATTCTCAACTACGAAGCGGAGACTAGTCACCTCAGCGTTCTGGACATCCTCATCGACTTGCTCCGAGATTTACCGTTCTGGATCGGTTCCCGGTCCGTGGTGGAGAAGCAAACGTTTTTGTGGTCGTTGTACAAGCTGCTGGTGACGGATACGTACCTGTTGCGGAAGTCGTGTACCTGGTACTATGCGGTCTCTGCGGATGACCCTCGCATCAACCCAATAATGCGGCGGAATGCCCGGCCTCGCCGAAACGTCCTGTCGACCGTAAGACTTGGACCCGGCCTCAAGCCTGGTCAGGGATCTCAAGCTGAGGGGCCTCAGAGATCAGTTATCCCGTTACCTGACGTTCGGTGTTTTGCATTTTACCAACCGCCTCCCGAGGAGGAACCTCTGCCGGAACCAATTCCCAAGTACAACCAAGTCGACCTTGCCGAACAGCGACGACACGCTGAACATGTGCAGCGTCTCCAGCTGGCTACCCAGAGGTGCCAGGAAACGAGACAGAGACCATTCTCCGCCGGCGCCGGTACTTTGGTCGCTGGCGACTATTATCTGGTTCCCCAGGCGGATGAACAGGCCGGTGGTGTCATGGATGAATGTCTGCGGTTTGAATTCCCGTTCCTCGAAACGTTGCACCAAGACGAAAAGGACAAACGACAAGCGCCGTATGGCCCATCGCCCGGTGATCAGAACTGGCGTTACATACTGGCGCATCTCCTGAAGAATAATTTTTCCCGCCCGAAAGGCTAGACAAAATGTTGCTCACCAACCACTGGGCGCTTGTTGCGCTGCTGCTGGGTGCGCGGACCATCAGCACCGACAGGTTTACTTGGACACTTTCCAGACAGTGCAACATGATCGACGCCAGCAACTACTGCAACGAGTACTACAACAGTTTTGATGCGCCGCTAAAAAGTGACCTGTGCCTCAGAGCCAGCAGCTCGGAGTGCACCATAAGGTAATCCGCAGGAGCAACCCACCAGTGTCGACTCATCAGGCCAAGCTCATCCTCCTTGTGGTTAGTTACAGCACGACGCTGAATTTCGAAAGGACCGAGATGTGCACCCACGGGCCTTACCTGTGGATTGACTTGGCAATGGGCAATCTGTGGAGGCTGGGAAAGCATGAGCCGGCTCAGCTGTTCGCAGTATCCGCCAACCTAGTAGACTGCGGTAACTATACAGTAGCCAGCATTACCGATCCACTAGCTTCGTGGTGCACCAAGCCACAGAATGTAGTTTTCCATCCGGCAACGTTCTACGACATCAATCATCTCAAAATTCCGAATGCCATAAGACTTAATCAGAGCATCTACCTAGTCATCATGAGCCCCTCAGAACCCCAAGACTGTTGGATCAGCGTTACCAAGTAAGCTCACCTATCACCAAGTTACATTTCATTCCCAGAATGGAACTCGGCATTTCATTTCATTCTCTCCTTATAGTCTATCTGTCTTCACAATGACCGCAGAGTACAGAAAATCCAATACTGGTGGATTACCCGCTACGTCTAAGTCGGCATTACAAAATCAACGATACCATACTGTCATCATAGTCGCAGCGGTCATGGCTGGTAGTGTCGCTGTCTTGCTCGTATTGCGGAAACTTTGCCAGGCAGCCCTTATTTCGGGCCAAGAAGCCGCCGTGGCAAGGCTAACTAGTCATAGGAGATGACTTTGCTGTTTGGAGACTCCCACAAATCACCCGCATTGTATACGCGCTTGTCATACGTATGGAGATTCTTGTGCACACACCAAACCTGTGCACACATGCGTCATGCCGCGGTCCTTCGACTAGAGAAGAGCTAGGTGTCCGGTAATGGGTTGTAGGCGTGACGAAGAAGCCGGCCCAATGGCCAACACAGTCGCCGACCCCGCCGCAATCTGGGTTCTACCTGCATCGTGAACCACGCTGAAAACATTGACAGTCAGGAAATATTGTAGCGGAGGGGAGGGGAACCAGGGGAGGGGAACCAGGGGAGGGTCAGGGTCGTGAAATTTACAAAGCTGGGATGCCGTTGGCTTTGGCTTCTTTGTAGAGTCGGAGCATTTCTTCTTCTCCGTTGATTTTGACAGCAATCTTAGCTTGCCCAGAGTTGACCCACTTTTCCGTGAACCTGCTGTTGGCAAATTTGCGATACAGACCCAGCGTGGCATGCCCGCATTGCGCGCACATCTTGCCCTTGCCCATCTTCAAGTCGTTTCTGACGCATAGCATTAGCTTATACTGGTCCGCACTATCTCCGTCCTCGTCACTGGAGTCATCGTCGCTGGAATAAGTCTCGAACAAGTCATCGTCTTTCTTAGTAGCACTGTATCCGTACGAGTTGACCACAGCCTCCCGGAAGGAATTGAACTTGGCCCCTGAGAACAACAGGCCCGCAGCGAACGCGATAATGGCCGTAGCCACCATCGACCCCGACACGAAAATCAAACAGTGAGCTGCACAGAACGAAGAATTACCCTATAAGCCTAGGGCCCAATGAGCTTAGCGCCCTCTGAGCCTGGTGCCCCCGGCCTATGGGTCGCAACCCACACGATCGACGTGTGCACCGTTGTTGCTTGTTTGCATGATGCACTGGACTATTGTATGTACGATTGTGCTGACAGGGCAACAAGACACCAACAATGGCACCGAGGAATCAATGAGGGCAACGAGGGCAACGAAACGTTAATGAACGAATGGGGGGAGGGGGCAGGTGCCCTCCCCTCAAGGGGGCACCCCTTGAGGAGGGGGGGGGGGGGGGTGGTAAGTTACTCTCCTGAATCATTTTTTTTCCAACTCGAACCGAAATGGACAGGAAGAAGGCCTTTACCCCCCATTTGGAAGATGTGAAGAGGAAAACAGAGAATATTATCACTGCAGTGATAAGGGACAGCAAATATGAAGCCACTCAGGTCCAGAACTGGGTCGATAAAATAACGCACGGTATGTGGCCCATCAGTACACACACGGTGGACACACTCGGCAGATACATGGACACTTTCTTAGAATGCATTGACTATCTGCAACAAGTGAATGACGATTTCAAATACGTTGTTTCCGTCATAATCATGGAGAAGAAGACAGGGGGCTTCCACCTGTTCAGTACTTGTTACTGGGATTGTGATCAAGACGGGACGGTGACAGCGCGGTATGATAATCCAGGTCTCCACGTTCTGGTGACCATATTCGGCATTACCTTGGACTAAAATATAAACCGCAAGCAGTCATAATGGCTGTGCAGAGAGCACACGGGTTGTTGGCCTGTCGAGTGGCCTGTCGGATGGCCTGTTGTTCGGTTTGCCGCGGGTGTTGTTCGGTTTGCCGCGGGTGTACTGTGGGAGCAAACACACTGTGTGTAGCAAACAAACATACTGTGTGTAGCAAACATACTGAGCCGTGTTTGTGGGTGACCGCGAACGACGGCGTGCGTGCGTGCGTGCGTTTTCAGTCAGTGCGAGCTCCGGGCAAGGCTTTTTATTTTAATGATGCATGGACGCGAAAAAGACTGAGCTCTTCAGGCGTCTAGTCAGCAACAATGTAAAACATTACTTGTGTGAAGTGATAATAAACACGCCCGAGCTGACGGGTGAAGCATACACGACCCGTATCCAACAGGTCAAAGACCTCCTTACTCCTGAAGACTGGGATGACATCGTGATTAATCGGAGTTCCAATGGCTTCTGTGGATGGGTAGCATGCAGCACTTGCGCCCCGGAGAAACGAAGGTACCCACCCCCCTGCCAATCTCCCCCTCTGTGTATATCTCCCCCTCTGTGTATATCTCCCCCTCTGTGTATATCTCCCCCTCTGTGTATATCTCCCTCTGTGTATATCTC